ATGGCCCGTGACACTGACCAGGGATATAATAACTCATAACTTCTTGGAGTGTGGGGGCTTCCCTCCTTTACCCCCAGCAGATCAAGGCCACCACTTCAACTGACAGACATGGAAGGTGCAACTATTAAGTTTCATCGCTGGACCCCGTGGGCGGTGACTATATACATATGTCCACTCAGCTTTTCTCTCCCTTACTCTTATCCTGCCTTTCTCTCCCCTATGCATTTTCTCCCCCCCATAGGTTATCTCTATGTCACATTGTTATACGACAGCACCTAAAATTCTAGCATACCTGTTGATGCAAAATTGTCCCCTATGCATTTTCTCTCCCCCCAAAGGTTATCTCTATGCCACATTGTTATATGATAACACAGAAATGCTAGCATGCCTGTTGATACAGAATTGTTAAAATAAACCTTGTCAGTATATGTTTTCAGACACCGATTATTCAGTGTCGTTTCACTCTAATCCACCCCAAGGGAATTATTGATAAAAACCTGGGTTACCCCCCTCCCTTTTTCTGGGGCGGGTCGTGACACCATCAGCTATTGGTCCTGGCATTTCAGTGTGTGACCTTGTGTGCATTCTGTAAAAATCAAACTTTCTGTGATTGACAAGAAACCATACAAAACGCATTTCAAACAACAGGTGAGGGTCAGCGACATCTCGAAGAAACGAACTTTCAAGATGAGACACTAACCCTGCAGCATAACAGGAATCGGTTACAATACTAATAGGTTGTTCAGAAAATTTCCCCAAGGCAATACGAATGGCAGCCAGTTCCAGAACCTGCACAGAACCCTGGTTCATGGTCTGTACCTCTTGTTCCCATTGTCCTGTGTCAGGGTTTACCCATGTCATTGCAGCTTTTCGTGTCCTCCCAGATGCATCTGTGAAGACCATAAGGCCTTTCACTGTTTGCATCTGGTTGTGTTTCATGTTTGCATCTGGTTGTGGCTTTTAAAGGTAAACTACCGATTTCTGCCCACAATCTGTGTTTAGGGAGATGAACTGAAATGTCACTGTCAAACCCTGCCAAGGCAGCCTGGAATCCTGCGTCCTCAGCTAGCATCCAGTCGAGGCTGGCCTTTGTAGCTGGGATGTAGATGGTTGCAGGATCTCTCCCATCCAGCTCCTGCAGCCGTCCTCTGCCTTTAATGACAAGCTTGGCAAACATTTCATTAGTAGTCCACACAGAAACAGCCACTCTAGAACTTGCAGTGGGTCTTTTTCAGTCTGATCCCACTGAAACAAAACTGCAAATGGCTGGTAGCTGCTGGGTACGAGGGCAAGGCAGATTTGCAGTTCAGGATTTCTCCTTCTGCCTTGCCTGCCTTCTATTGCCTTGGCACAAATGTCTAACGCCTGCTTTGCCTCTGCTGTCAGAGACCTGCTAGATGTTAGGTCTGAGTCCCCCTTAAGCAGCTCAAATAGAGGGTGCAGCTCCTCTGTGGTTATGCCTAAAATAGGCCTTAACCAATTGATGGCTCCCAGAAGTTTTTGCAATTCATGTAAAGTTAAATTGTCTTTTACCTCAAGCTGCAGTGGCTGTGGAGAAATTTCCTGCTGTGTGATTTTCCATCCAAGGTATGTCCAGGGTTGTGATCACTGGATCTTCTCTGGCACAAGCTGTAACCCTGCATCTTGGACAGCATAAATTAGGGCAGTAAAAACAATTTGCAGTTCATTTTCTGTGGCCATGGTAATTAAAATGTCATCCATATAATGATATATGATGGCTGAAAGAAAACGCTTTCTGATGGGGTGAATAGCGTTTGTCACTACCATTTGACATATTGTTGGACTATTTTTCATCCCCTGAGGAAGGACAACCCAGTGATACCTTTGCATGGGCTGTCTATTGTTCAAGGCGAGGATGGAGAAAGCAAACCTTGGCGCACCCTCAGGGTGTAGGAAGATGGTAAAAAACCAGTCCTTTAAATCAATTACCATTAGTGGCCATTTTGCTGGAAGCATAGCAGGTGAGGATAGTCCAGGCTGCAATGCTCCCATGGGTTCTATGACTGTGTTTACTGCCCTCAATACAGGAGTATTCCAGGGACTAGTTGTTGGCACAATGTGACCTGCTTCTAGCTGTTCCCTTCAAAGCTCTCTTAAATGTTCAGGTCGTTGCCTTTTGACGGACCATTGATTCACCCAAACTGGCTGCTCGCTTTTCCAGACCAGCTTAATCGGTCCTTGGGACAGCTGGTCGATGGCCCCTATTGAAAAACCCGGCTGCTTGCAGGAGGAATTTGCATGACTGTGCCGAACTGTCCGAGAATATCCCTTCCCCATAGTGTATGCAGAATGGGAGCAACAAAGGGAGCTATCTTGGCTAATTGTCCCTCTGGCCCCAAGACAGTGAGTATCTGAGCACAAAGATACAGCTCAGCAATGCTGCCTGCAAAGCTCTTTTACAGTCTGGATTCGCGTTTTCAAAAGCCAGTTGCCTGTAGAGCATCTCTCTGGCTTTGTCATGCTCAACCTGCCTGTTTAAGACAGATTGCAGCCAATCCAGGAATTGTGAATATGGTTCAGTAGGACCTTGTAATATTTTTGTGAATGACAGGTTGCTATCCCAGCCTGAAGTGGGCAATTTCCTCATGGCTCTCAGGGCATGTTTAGCTATCGCTTCGTATATTTCTCTATGGTATCCAGACTAAGCATCTATTGAGCTGTAATTTCCCTCCCCAGTTAGTTGGTGTGCTGTTATGCCTGCTTGTGGGTCGTTAGCATATGCAGAGCAATTCTCCTGAAAATCGGTTAACCACACGTTGTACTGAGTATTCGTAAGAGTTATTTTCAGTAAGGTTTTCCAATCATGTGGTATCAAGACATAGGTGGAACTTAGTGTCTCTAAATACACAAGGGTATTAGCTGAGGACCCGCCAGTTTCCCTTACCAGTTGCCTCAATTCCATTGTCAGCTCATGTGGCAGAGGATGGAATTGAGGGGGCTGACGTTGCCGAAAAACGACTGGGCATGCTTGTATAACTTGGAAATCTCCTACCCAAATTGCCTCCTCCTGACATAGTCCCCACCTATCAACCGACCTTTCCCCGTTTGCCTCCTCGCTCCCTCCCGGTGGAACCATCCCTGGTCCCTCCTCCTCATCCCCCCATGCCTCCCACCCTGTGGCCAAAGTAAACCCGGTTCCCTGTGGGGAGGTGGTGGTGGGTGATGGATGTGGCGTGGGGGAGGGGCCCTCCCCCCCCTCATGCCGGCGGCTGGAGCGGGGGAGCGCTGGGGCCAGAAGAGATGGATTGACTTCCGGTCCGTTTGGCAGGCAAGATGGCGGTGCCCACGCCATGTGGTTGCTGATCATCTACAGCGTGGGGTGGCAAATTGGCTGGGTTACCTCCCTCATCGCTGCAATGGAGCCCCCTGCGCTGATCCCATGGGTCAGGATCCCACATTACAGGCTCCATTCCCTCACGGCGACCTGTGTTCCTGTGGCTATCAGCTCCCGATCCATAACTCCTGAGCAGATCTCTCCCCTCCCGGTAAACTCCGTGTGTTTGTGTTTCTACGCCTAGGAGTTGGGCTGCGGCTAGCAGCGTGGGTGGGGGGTGGTGTGTTGGTGTTGGATGCTTGTACCATCCACTCGTGGGCTCTGTGTAGTGCAGACATTACGATTTGCCAGGCTGAAATGGCATTTTTAGCTTGGGGGTCTCCCCCTTCAGCTTTCAGTTTCATGAGGTCTCCTATCCTGTCCCATATTTCTATGTGCAGAGCTTCCAACAACAGCAGCTTGGGGACTGCTGCTTTAACGAAACGCATAAGCTCTGTTAGTTCAGCCCTTGTGGCTTGTATGTGGTAAGGTCTTAGCAGGATAGTTAATGCGTCTGTGTTTTGTGAAATCTCAGTGGAGAAAAAACTTCCCATGTTTTTACCTTACTCTCACCGCTGTAGATGCACGTGTATGGAGGGGTTCTTTGTTCTGCGGCTGTTCAGTTTTACTTTCGGTTTCTGGATCGGCTGTTCTTTGCGGCTTTTTTCCTTTCGGCATCTCCGTCGGCGTCCGTTGCTGTCCGGGTGTCGGCTGCTGCTCCGGTGGCTTGAGGGCGGTAGCAGAAGGGAGGGGGGTTCCCGGCACGGTGCGACGGTCGCGGTGGCAGCAGCAGTGTTTGCGTCGGCGCATGAAGTTCCCTGACGGTCTGCAGCGCTTCCGCGGGCTGGTTCAGTGGTGTGGATGCTGCACGCAGAGGCTACAGGCAGCAGAAGGCGGCTGCGGGGTCCCGCGATCTACTGGGCGGGACGGGGGCTCCAGCGTGCCGGCGGGGTTTCACGGTGCGGCTTCTACAGGTTCCGCGCAGCTTCTAGCATGGGCACGGGGCAGGCAGAGGCGGCGGGTGAATGCGGGTGGGCAGCAGGCTGCACGGAGCTGTGGCACTTCTCCGCTTGGCGGAAACGTGCTCCGGTAGGGGGTTTGCAGAGTCTTGCAGTGGGGCTGGGGGTGTTCGGGTAGCAGTGGCGCCGCTTTTGCACGCATGGCTTAGCAGCGGCAAGCGGCAGGGCAGCAGGGACTTCCCGGCGGTTTCGGTGTGCCCTGCCACTCAAGTTTCCGAGCTGTGGGTTCGCAGCTGCTCAGGGAGCAGCCCTGGCCATGGTGTTGGATGCAGGCGCTGCGTTTCAGGCTCACTCATCGCTGAGATGGATGGTCGACCCTGCTCCGCTTTCTCTGGTGCTGCCGTCCCGGTTTCTCGGCTTCTTCTTTTTCTCTTCTTCTCTCTTTCTTCTTCTCTGTTCCTGTGCACTTTTCCCTAATATTTTTGAGCTCTCTATGCTAACTGCGTTTCTCAGATTTGGCTGAGGCAACGGTTTAAAGATGTCTAGGTTTTTTTCGGTGAAAAATTCCCGTATTATAAAAATTAATACGATAGCCAGAATTTACCAATATTCCCCTGATTCAGGGTATTCCAATCTACCTAATTTAGGTTCTAAGTCCCAGTTCGGGTCGCCACGTGTCGCGTGGTGTCTTTATATGATAAAGAAAGGCAGTCAGCTCTCCGATGAGATGGTAATCAAAAAGACTTTATTCAAACTTGGCGCTCTTTTTATCCCTTAAAACCATGTGACCTTGTGACCAATGGGGTTGTCTATTCTGCCAAATGTCCCTTGGGCTTCCCTGCCCTTGGTGCATCCCCTGCACCCCTGGACACACCTCCTACATTCCCTATTACTAATTTAGAAAAATCGTCTCAACCAGCTCTTCAAGTAACTCAGACCAGTTAACCACATGTAGTTATTCATCCATTCATCCATCCAATCTCTACTGGAGCTACAGTCACTTAAAACAGTTGAAAAATCTGACTCCCTGTGCCTCTTGCCTTGGAAGTTCTTAATAAAGGAATCCTTTTAATACATGAAGGACTTGAGGTGTGGAGTTACTGCTAAATCAATTCCCTTCTGCTGTGGTGCTTCAGCAAACTAGCTCTGCCCTGCACTGTGTCAGTACTTTCTGTCATCCTGATATTCTTCACGTGACATGTGGTGGGTTGCCGCTTTGTCATTCCCTTCCTCAGCTGGGCAGGGAAGAAAAAAATGTAAGGAAAGGCTCATGGGTTGGGGTACAGGCAGGGAGAGATCACTCACCAATTACTGTCATGGGCAAAACAGACTCTACTTGGGAAAATTAGCTTAATCCACTACCCACCAAAATCAGAGTAGAATAATGAGAAATAAAACCAAATGTTCTTCCTCTGTTCCAATTCACTCCTGAATTCTCTACCTCTTCCCCCCAGCAGAACCGGGGATGGAGAAGAGGGCCTGCAGTCAGTTCATCATAGGTTGTTTCTGCCACTCCTCCTCCTCAGGGGGAAAACCCCTCACACTCTTCCCTTGTTCCAATGTGGGGTCCCTCCCATGGGAGACAGTTCTCCACTAACTTCTTCAACATAAGTTCTTCCACAGTTCCTCATGAACTGCTCCAGTGTGGGTCCCTCCCACGGAGTGCAGTCCTTCAGGAATAGGCTGCTCCAAGGATTTGTTTCTGCAGAAGGAGCATAATAAGCTCTTTGAGATACAAATCTGTCTTTATTTTCATGTGATATGTAGCATGAAGCTGTCAATGATAAATCCTAAGAGGGGAAAATGAGTAAATATAGCAATTGATTCCATCTCAGCTTTCCTCTATACTTTTAGCAAAGTGAGAGGAAACCCTTGGATACAGAGTTTGAGGGAGTTTGGATACATTTGAGGGAGACATAACTACTACAAAGTAATGACAAAATAAATAAGAGGAAAAGCTTGATGCCACCCAGTTCCTTCATACTTCACAGTTTGGGAGACTGGAACTGCTCAGTTGCAATTTGGCCATAGAGCAGAGGCCATAGTGCTTGCTGGGTTGTACAAAGAGATAATCACTGGGATCTTTAATGACACACTGCCACATAAAACAGGACAACACAAACTGAAATATCACATAGACTAACACAGAAGTACTGAAGATAAGCAGCCCAATCTGCTAGTGTGAAAAATAATTGGCAAGATGAAAAAATATTTTCATGTGCTGTACATATAGGAAGGAGAGGTGAGTACAACTGTCCAGGTTTATGGCTTCCTGTTAGAAATACAGCACCCTGTAATAAGCAGTACCGGAAAATAGTCTGCAATGTTGCCATGTTTTATAACAGGGTCTCAAATTCCTCTGTACAAACTACTATCCTTCAATATCAATTAGTTTTTTATCTGAGAACCACCATACCCTTCAGCTGCAGTAATGTAGGTTACTCATACCATGTCCTCTGCACAGTCACAAATTATAAAGGAAACACTGTGCAGTCTCTTCCACTAAAAAAGGTGTCTGTACCTTACATGACAAACCAGGACTATCTAGTGCACCATCACTAGATTTCTATGCCTAAATGCTTCGGAATCTCAGCTAGATTCACTGTCATACACTAACTAATTTGTACAACAATAAAGTTGTATTTCTGTCTTTTTAATAATAGGATGCAGATTCAATAATAAACTCAATATTTAAAATAACAGAAAACTGATTACAAAACCACAGAATCACAGAATCAGCTAGGTTGGAAAAGACCTCTGAGGCCATCAAGTCCAACCTATGACCACCTTGTCAACTAGACCATAGCACTAAGTGCCACATGCAGTCTTTTCTTAAACACCTCCAGGGACAGTGACTCCATCACCTCCCTGAGGAGCCCATTCCAATGCCCAATCACTCTTTCTTGTGAAGAACTTCATAATGATTAATCAACCACTGCCAAAACTACTCAGACCACAATGTCCATGTAGGTCAAGACCTGCTATTTCTTACTTCTCTTTTCAAGTACAAAGACTGGTACTTCTGCTGGGTTCCTTTACCAGATAGTTGGTGGTTGCCTAGAACTGAGACAACCTACATTCACAAAGGGAGGTGCTATTGAGTTCTAGTGTGGACGAGTTTCCACCAGAGATCCATCTGGAAGGAAACAGCTCATTTACTGACCCATTCTGGTCAAGAACAAATGGATTGTTAAAATGGGTGTTATTTTCCTATTGTCACCACTGGGGGGAGAATGGTGGCAGGGGAGATGAAATTGCAGAAGCTGAAGAAGGGATTCCCCAAGAATGAGGGCGGAGGGAGAGTCCCACAACATCTGGTAGGGATAAAAAGCGCTGTCATTTTGCCATTACTCTCTCTCGGCTTGCCTGTGGACTTGGGGTTTGCCTGCTGCTGCAACCCACCCACTTCGGACCACAATCTGCAACGATCCCGGCAGCACTGGTTCCTGCAGTTCCTGCGTTTATGCCCTTGCTTCTCAACCGCTCCAGCTCAGCACCAGCTAAAGTGGTGCTAGTTTTCTCCAGAGCCCAGTGACTCCGTGGCTGGTCCCAAGCCGCTGTAGTCAGAGCCCCTGTGTTTCCAGCCCCTGTGTTCCCAGGCCCCGCAGCAGCCACAGGCCAGTGGGAATTCCCGTTGTGTGAGTCCACCACCACTGCAGCTGTGATGAGGGGACTCAGCTGAGAGCTCCCTTTGTTGCACTTTTCATGTGCCATTCGCCCAGGCTCCATCGTGGTTTCATCGCTGCCACCGAGCGAGAGCCCGCCAGCGCCGCCTTCTGGACACGGCTGTGACTGCACCGCAGGAAACTCCCAACAGTCGGTTTCAACAGACTCTCTCTGAGTGATATTCTTCCCCTTTACTGTGTGTTTGTAGTTTATTTTTTGTCTGGGTTTTTTTTGCCTTTTGGTTTTCAGTAAAACTGTTAATTATGTTTCTACTTCATCTCCTTGTAAGTCGAAAATAATTTTTGAATTCACATTAAATTTGGGAGGTAGGAGTCCCTATTCCATCTAAGGTCCCATTTCCCTGGTAAAAATTGTCTTAAAACTGCTTATGTGCTGTGTTGAAGAAAGTCAGACTTGGCACATTTTTCTCATTAAATGTGCTAAAGCAGGTCAGTTTTTCTAGAAATTCCTATATTCTCCTTTGCAATAGGGTAATCTAAAAGGCCCTTAACTTTAGCTCTTCAGTCTGAAAGGGTAGCACATACATAAGCAGTGCTGAGTAAATGCTGCTGAAATGTCTATGATTATGTGGAACGCTAAAGAAAATTGGCTTTCTTGACATATACAACGTCATTAAAATCTTCAAAATAACATCTAAAAGCAAGGAAGTCTCAGATATTTGTGTAATGCATTTCACACATGAAGCATTCGCATTGCCATCTTATACATCTGTCAGTGCAGCCAAGTGACACCAGCATCCAGGATCCTAGTCACACAACTTATTGCAAAATGGTCACAGCTAAAAGCTGGCCCGTCTGCAACACAGTATGTTGTCTATGCCCAAATTTTGGGCCTACGTTAGAACATTTGCAGGATAACCCTAGAACCCGGACATGCACAATTTTTTTCAATTTGTTATTACTTCTGAACAAGGAGAAGCAGTGTGGGCCAAATACATGACATAGTTTATCTAGCACTCATTATAACAAAAGTGCTGTGTGCTTTCATCTGACTTTCTCATTAGCAGGCAGATTAAATCACTTTTGAACCGTTTGCTTATTTGTTGAGAACAGCTTTCAAGATGAGGTAATTGAAGGAAACCTATCAATTTAGTATATATTTTCAAGTTAGTAATGTTGACATACTGTTCAAATAAACCTCCAATTTACCATAATCTGTTTTTAGACAAGCCCTCCATTTTAACCTCCAAATGGAAGAAAAACTAAGTGACTTCCTCATCTCACTTAATAGACAACATATACTCAAAGATACTACTGTGGGCTTGCTCTGAGAAGCTGTTCCTCCTCTGACAGAGCTGCAGGGAGCTCACAGAGTAACACCAATACATAATGAATGGACACATTGCCATAAATCTCATGCCCAGCAGAGGTCACTTCAGAAAAAAAGAGATCACTGATTGGAGAAACACACACACACAAACAAATGCACCCTGGCCACAGTGAAAAAAGAAGCTGGTGTAGCCCATGTAAGCTGGAAGGATCAGAACTGTCACCTCAATCCTAGTTTTTTGGGGGAGGCTGAGGCATAGTAATGAAGAGACAGAGAGAGGTTGAAAAGAAGAAAGGGATCTCTATCACCACAAAGCACAAGAAGCATCTCTAAAATAGAACTGTTTTAAATCTTTGCAGCACAAATTGTCTGGAATAATTTGAGACAGAAATGCTATGGTAATATCAATGATAATTTTCATTTATTTTATAAATATTTATGTAGCTCAAAATTATTTTTATAACTTACAGAAAGGATGTAATTATCACTTGCTCCTCCAAGTCTCAACTTTTCAATCTACAAAAAAAGGACAATTCATTTGCCAAGGCCATTGTACTTGATGCTGGAAAAGCCACTAATAAAACTCACATTCCTTGTATCCCAGATAATTAATTGATTCATCAGACTGTGCCCATAAACGATCCAACATTTTACTTGTATCTAGAAACAAATCAAATCCCCTTCATTCTATTGTGCTCAGCGCCATGTCCTCATGTCACTAAGGTGGGGGCCATGTACAATCACTTACAACTAGTAATAAAAGAAAAAGTAAGATTCATCACCAGACATAATTAACATTTAGTTGTAGATTTATCAGATCCTACACAGCCATCAAACCTTTCAAGTTCATCCCCACTAAATCAAACAATGAAGTTGTCTTAGTAAAAAAGAAGCAATAAAACTGCATGGTTAGAAACCGGCCATGTGAGAAACCTGAAAGCTACATTCTCTACTCATTCTGTGCAAATCATCACTCACAAAAACACATTCAGAAGTTGTTTTTTAGATTAGACGAATCCTACCTGGTAGGACACAGCTAACATAGCCTAGAACATGCCGCCAAAGTGACCATTTAGAGCCAACCTTATCAGTTCAGGATCAGTCCTTGTACCTCCAGCTGACAGGCAGCACCCAACTGCACAGATATCCCAAAGCCTGAACACCTGGAACAAGGAAGGGTAAGCAGATCATGACAGAGTCACAGATTGAACAATGTAACATTCACTTACACATTCAGAAGGACAAAAACAACAAAGCAAATAAACAACCCCCCCCACACACACATCACAAACAAAAGCCTGTACACAGATTTTGCAAATAAGCCTTTAATAGTGAAAAATGAAGCTATCCTTACATCTTGGGATTCCTAGGCAGAAACATACTCAGTAGCTCAGTAATTTAGACATTCATATAGGCTCAAAACTTTTCTTGGCCCAAGATCTGAACGCCAAGCCACTGTTCTTCTGTTGCTGCTGTTGCTGTCCATGTCCTAAATATTTATCAAGACACAAAGAACAACAAGTTGACCCCTCAGCATGGATGCCAGAAGAGGAACAATTTAAATGCATTTAACTTGCGTTTGAAACACAGACCCGAGACAGAGCCTGAATTTTCTACAGTATTTATACACAATCTCTTGCTCCAGTACAGACTTGGAGCTCATTGCAGATCACATTGAAAGGGAAAGTTTAACCTTATGCCAACCCCTGATGCAGCGATAACCAAAGCTGGTGTCTGTATGAACAGTACCTATTCAGATAAATTTCTCAGCCACATAAATTTTGATGCTTCAAGTCCCAGCATATGACAGACATGCAATCCTGAGCTACCTTTGTGTAAAACAAAGGTTCAAAAATGAAGCAGGTGGAATGTTGCACTCCACATTCCTAGGTAAACGTTCCATACAGATTTCTGAAAGGTTACAACCTAAAATGTAGAAATTGGACCACAGAAACAAAAGCTTGATGAAGAGCAGTTCACACACACACAAAAAAAGCAAGCAAGCTCATTTGCATATTCCAAAAGGTATTTGCAGTTTTGCAGTTTTTAAAGTCTTGCAATATTTTTATGTCATGTTCCTTTTTTTTTTTCTACCATGTCCTTGGTCCAGCCAGGACAGGGTTAATTTTTTGCAAGATCAGGATTTTTGTGAATTGTTTCTTTTCTTATACTTTTTGTTATTAATACTGTTGCTGTTCCTGTTTGTTTTCTTGTCTCATTGCTGTTTTTAGTAATCTTATCTCAGCCCATGTGATTTGTGCCTGCAAGTGGAGGGCAGGGAGGTTTTTAGTGGGGGTACTAAATTGGAGAATACCATTCCTAAGCCACAACACACGGGCAGGAATATTACAAAATAATTTGAAATGTAAAGTGTTTTACTCTGCCTTATTGCTTGGAAATCCTCACAGATTACACACAATGAGGTGCCTGACCTTAAAAACAAAGTTTGGTATATCAGGGTGAGGAGATTACCTGTAGCATCAGAACATATGCAGAAATTTCTCCAACCAGGATGAGTTACTGAAGAACCAATCCATAAGCTCCAGCTGGTTTGTCACAGACATTTCTTCAAATATACAGAATTACGTACCATTAAGCCACAGCCCATTCTTCAACAAACATAAAACCTTGATAAATGCAAAAGTTATTGACACCAAAAAATGACACCAAAATGACACCAAAAAAAAGGCAAGTTAGTTTGAAATGAAATTGCTATAAAACACACTCTAGGTTTTTATAACTCAAAAGACAACTTAAAAGACTTTTTTCAACCATTTGGGAGACATTTTTGTTTTAGCAGAAGAATTTGCAGTATGCCCCTATAAAAGGGATCAGTCTGTCCCAGTAGATTTTACTCAGCAAAAGGCAAACAAAGTTAGGAGTAAGGGAGAAACTTAGCCAACTTCAGCTGCCACTGTATGCATGTTGAAAAGCTATTTATTCTATTGCTCTAGTTCTGAAGTAGTATTTTAAGGTTTGTAGAGAATAATGTCAGAATAATTCAGAAGTTTAGCTGCAGATGCTTAATGTAGTGGTCCTTGTCAATATTCTACCCCCAACATAAAGTGAGCAACAGAAAACACACAGTGTAGGCAAACAGTAAATCTGACTGCAGAAGCCACGCACCACCTTCATTATCAGGAGGACTGAAAGATATTTTGGAGTCCTTTTTATTCACAGAGAGGTTCCAGGTCACTCTTATTGCCAGAATCAAACACTCCCAGGATTCAGGAGCTTCCCATTCTAGAGCATACTCTCCTTAGCTGCTGGTCATATACTCAGTCGAGTAAGTTTCAGACCACTGTTCAAAACAGTTTTTAAAAAATGGTACAATGTAACTTCAGAGAGTGGAAGAGTAAATAGTGCTGATGTTTCACAAATCATTCTTTCCACTGTTTTCTGTATGTTTGAACATAATCATAATTACTATCTGAAGTTTAGGTAAGTCAATAAATGAGACATTAAGAATGTTTATTGCTATTTATAACAGTATAAATTTTGAAATTAAAAAAAAAAAGTCTTTGAAGATCTGGAGCCCAATGCTAACAATACCATCTTTTATATCTGGTACTTTAAATGGAAATTAAGATAATCCAGAAGAGAAATGGTAGTCAGATCTAGTTTTTTTAAAAGAGTTAGTATAATGTGAAGCAACACATTTTCCAAATGCTGTATGCATCTAAATATCATAAACTTTTAGCTGACCATTAGGAAATACTCAGACACATTAAAGTTTGCAATACCCTTTTCAAAGATGATTCATGGCCATTATTAAGAATTATCCATATAGTTAATTCCCACATTTGCCAAAACAATTTTACAGCATTTTCTTTTTAAAAACTAACAACATCAGGAATCAACTATAAGCTATAGCTCAAGTGACCTTATTTTTCCTTGTTGCATGATACCAAAATGGGCCTGATTCTCCCTCCTCATCTGCACAGTTTCCCTTCTACACTGTCTATTAAAGCCAAGCTGCTGGACCAGCCAGCTGCAGGCTCCTCTGACTTAGAGACCTAGCAAAAACTCACTTCCTTTTTGGAATGAGTCCCTCTCACCTCTCTCATTCTAACAGTCCCAATGTAACCACAAGGTTATTCTCCACTCTCAAAACAAGATTTGGCCCTTTGACATTTGAGTCAGGCTAAGTAGTCCATTTGTCTTCAACAAGATTACCCCTTGATTATTTCCTTGGAAGGCAATTGATCAGTCAATACCAATGAATTCATTTAGACAAAGGATCTAGTATCCAAATGCATGTATTTAAAACTGAATGTTACATTTACCTTCAAGTTCTTAAATATTTTTAGTAATGAGTCCACAGAAGTGGATAGCTTATTAGGTGCCAATAGCTTCATTACAAAATATTAATCACCTTTATGGTTTCTTCATACTAGTGCCTGAAGTGAAACTGCTTTGAAATATGGACAGCAGAATTAAAAAAGACTGCTTTCCTACAGCTTTAGGTTTCACACTGGATTCTGCCAGGTCTACAAAAGCAGTGAACTGACAGAAGAAATCAGGGCACTTCATACCATTGCTGCCACCTACAGATAATCTAGTAACTGATGAGGGTTGAGCTGACACTCGCTTTCCTAATGAGAACACTGATAGATAGGTGGGAAGGAGAGATGGAATGTATTTTCATGAAGCTCACAAAAATCAAGTAGCTTAAAAAATGATCTCCATTGTCAGCTTCTGTTGAAATTAATGAATGGCATCAAAAGTTGTTAGGGGATGGATGAACACCAAGAGATTACACTCTTACTCTCCTTTCCTAAAGAAACAAGGCTTGTAATGTTTAGTTTATTATCACATACACCTTTATTACCACATATTACCTTTCAAATAGGTTCCACCTGTTTGATTATTATACATCATACTGCATTTCAAATTTTTCAAATTGTATTTACTTTAGGAGAAACTGAGAACCTTGTCAAATGAGTCTGACCTAGTAACTCAAGGAACCTCACTGGGCCCTATTCAGCAAAAACAGCCAACTGTTGAATTCCTTACTCTGAGGAGTTGAATTCCCCTCAATAAAAATACTCAAGACATTGCAGACTGACTGTCCTGCAAATACTTGCAGTTTCCCCCTCAGCTCACAGAAACCTTAAAGATTACCACCTGGTTGTCATCCCAGTGGAAATCTTATTCCAGGCTGGCAAACTGACTTTTTCAGATGCCTCAACTTCAAACACCATTAAACAAAAAAAACAACAACAAAAAAAACCCACAAACAAACAAACAAAACAAAAAAACCCCACCAAAACCAAAAAAAAACCAAACCACCAAACCACTAAATAATAAAGAAAACTACAAGTTGTGTGAAAGTGCTACGTAGTATGAAAGCAGCACATGCCTAATTAACCAAAGTAAATGAACCAGACTCTCACTATAGCTGGGCACTGCTGCAGAAACAATGGTAGAAGTCAGGCAGTGGTGACACATGATTTCACAGACCCTTCTCAGGTGTTGAACATAGTTCTTCTTCAAGAGAGTAAAAAATCCTTTTCTAGAGTTTCTGGTCTTAATCTCCTCTCTTTAGAATCTCCTCTCTTTACTGAACACATCAGTAAGTGTTTCTTTCTAATCTAAGCCCAGATTCCTCTGGTTTGTTATACTTGGAACCATTACATTCCTGTATCAGGGATATTATCCCATTTCTGAAGACCATCCACATCCACTTAGTACAGTTTTAAATTAATAAACACAAGAATCAAGTATCAACTATGCAAAACTTCCTTTTTCATTTAATTTAGAACTCTTAGTTGTACTATTCCCTTATACCTTTATACTTGATTTCCTCCTTTTAAACATATTCATGGTATTCCTCTGAGTCAGGCAGCTTTCAGTAAAGCAGTGGTTTCCAGTGTCCCCAGGCATTACTTGGAGCCCGACTATCCCATGCCCTGAAGGACAAGGCCAATGAGCCTCAGAAAGCCTTTTCACCAAGTTTCCCCTCCATTATTATGAAGGGTGTGTGTGACCAGACCCATTTTAGGACATTTCTGAGGACTGCTTGGGAAGCCTGACATTTACTAAGCTCCTGGTACACCGAGATTTCAATTAGTTTATTTCCCTTTCTTCAGCAGACAGCAGCTAATCTTCCTCTAAACTTCACTGAGCCCTGTCCTGAAGGAGCTCCTTCATGTCTTTGCCATTAAAGGAAACCTCAGCAGACTAGGATTCCAATTTTGTCCTGCTACTGATTTACTGTAGTCATTTGTTAGTGATGTATTTAATGAGGTCAGCATAATTCAGCATAATGTACTCCTAAATATATTAGTATTGATTTCCTCCTCTTCAATAGCAAAGTAACGTTGGACAGACTGCCAAAATATTAATTTCTTTTCTCTACATTTTTCTCTTCCTAAGCTTGATTCCAACAGAAAGAGTTCGAAAATTTCATCTATCGTCTCCAAAAATGTATTCTGCATCTAGGTGTCTTACTGTTTCTGCTTCCTGGTATCTTTTCCTCCACACTGAGAAACCTGGCTTTGAGCTCCTGATAGCTATTTGCTTCAGCACTAAACTCTCTGTTCAGCACTTGCCTTTCCTTTCAGGTGTTGCCAGTGAAGAATCTACTTCTCCTCAGTGACAGGCCAAATCAGTCCTCATCCAACTGACTGCAAAGACATTTTAAGCTCAGAACTGCTTTCGTCAAATACTTACAGAAGTGTTTTTCCCAGGAAACTTTATCATTAATGTCATAGTTTTTGGCTAAAACATGTCAGCTAGCATCTGTTCACAAGCCTGCAAAGAACACACTCCCTATTTTATACAGATGGCATTATATTCTTTTTATCAGCCTTGGTATAAGATAACACATTTTCATCCAGTTTGAAGTAGGTAAAGTGACCAGTGTATTTCCACATCTCCCAGACACAACAGCAGCTAACCAGGAAGAATCTTCCCTTCAAAACATCATGATCCACATGTGTCCCTTACAAGCCAGCTTAAGGTTTGCTAAGTTTTCCATAAGGCTACATTAAACAGTACAAAAAAAGAAAAACAAATGAAAACTCCAAACAAGAAACCAATCCACAAGTACATCTTTTCTCTTTCCTCCCACAGGAGAACTCCAAAATGGAAAAGGATCATTTGGAAACAGCAATACTAGCATGCAGAATTTTCTTTAAATATAATCACAACCATTATTTATTTGTGAGTACTAAAGATAAAATTCTAAGAATTCAGGAAACCCAAAGGATACCACACCAACAGTAATTTCAGTTTTGATGCTCTCCATGCATGTAATGTTTTCTGTACCATTTGGTGTGTTAACCTAAAACATAAATTAGAAATACACAGTCAGTGCAACCCAGTCAGCCATCTGAAACATCCCTTTTATTTTCTCAAGTATGCATCACTAATTGCATGTTAAATTTTATATTTTTAACATAAGCTAGGAATTTTCTCTCCTAGTTTACTAATTCTAGTGTATTTAATTAGCTGCATTGATAGACATTTCCTTCCAAAGGATCTGTTCTTAGTGAGAGTGGAATAAGCTTCCAAAGCTCTGTGATAAATTGTTCTGAAAGCACACTCTGCTTTTCCCAAATGTCACTTACCTCTTCCCAGCCTCTTTTAACTGCCCTCTCCTTCCATCTTGTAGCTTACTTTTAAATATTTCTAAACTGATCTTGTAGTAAAAAAGCACAGTCTAATATTTCACAGGTGCACTTGTGCTCTTGAGGGTAAATATATCACCCTGTCATCACCATGGTCAGCACATTCCTCACAATCACATTATCAGCTGCTTGTGTTGTTTCTGTCCTTATGGGGTGGTTGGAAACACACAGAACTTCCATGTGAAAGACTTCCAGGTGCAAGGTTATAGCTTTGCATCTGTTTTTCTTCTCATGAGAGGGATTTTTTCCCTCCAATCTTTATAGGATTTCCATGTGGCCTTATTATGTTATCACTAATAATAATAATAATAATGGCCAGTCTTCGCGAGCGAAGATTTGGGAAAGGTTATTAACCCTTCGAGCCTGCGCAGTGGATTTTTTAGGTGAGACCCAGCGTGCGCTGAACTGAGCCCACCCTTTAATCCTGAGGTTCATCTGCTGGGGCCGAGTGAAACTCGGACAGTGGCAGTGAGGGTCTCAGAACGTAGGTTTGTTTAGAGTGACCTTCTCTTAGATGGATTGCCTCACAGGGCTAACGAGCTCCATCTGCCCGGGGGGCCGGGAATCGAACCCGGGTCGCAGCAGTGAGAGTCCTGCACCCTAACCACTAGACCACCAGAGGCCCCATGTTATCACTAGCACATGAAATATACACAGCCTTTAAAAGAAGAGTAAATACTATGCAGAGTGAGCAACCCTGAATTACAAGATTAGGGTGATTTTGCCAGGGTTTCATTAATAGAAACGCTTTAAATAAATTAGTCCAGTCCTATATTTCACTACAATTATGCTATCCAGCATTCTCAGCTATCCTTCATTGTCTTTTAACTTTCAGTTATGTATCGCCAAACCTTCTTTTAACTAAAACTCAAGAGCTATCTTTCTCACAGAACTTCAGGCTAAAAGGCAATCATCACTTAGACAACTTGATATGTGAATTGCCAAATAATTTCTAACACCACTGCCAATTCTCCATTTAATTTTAAGAAAAAAACCCCCTCCCTCTAGGATTTTAGTGGCAGTTGGGTCCACATCTGGACTTTGCACCCTTATAAAAGATGGGAAACAAAAGATATATTCATTACTGACTTTAAGGAAGGTGCATCTGCATTCAAAAGTGTATTGCCTCACAGACGTCAGACTGAAAGTCTGCAAACACGCTGGAAACACTGTAATGCTCTCATGGAAGACATGACCTTGAAAGCAGTGATGCATATTTTCCATAGCTACAATGCTGGGTATGACAGGGTTTTTGCTTCGGCTACCAAATTGGTGAGGACTTTCACATTAATTTTTCTGACAATATATAAACTTTATCATCTCACCATGCCCATGGACACCATGCCCAAAAAGACATCCTTTGGTCCCCTCATCTACAGTCCTTCTACATCGGAATCCAAGTTCCCTGGAAGTTGAGAAGAGTTTGAATCAGCCCAAAGCACACTACCAGTAGCAGATTCTAGATTATATATTCTAGATTACAACTGAATAAGGGAGAATATTACTGCAAGTACAGATGCAATGCACAGTTAAATCTGTTTATACATTAAGGGCAGTTGTCACAGAAGGTTACAACTGAAATCTTGAAGCTTTTAAAAGAGAAAAAAAATTATTCTAAATTAAGAGAAATATATTTACATAACTCTTTCATTTTCAAGCCCCATGCAATTCACTTGTTGCAAATGGAAGGGATTTTTGTTTCATCTGAACTTACTTTTAAAGGGTTCCTTCCCATCAACTTCATTAGCACCTCAACAGCATTAACTGCAGGTTTCCATAGCTAAACAGATAAATGGAAATTTCATGACAAATCATAAGGTTTTGTCAGTGAGCTTTTATAGAACACCACAGACTGTCCCTTTACTTGTCCCACCTATAACACAGTTTGTTTAATGCAATTCTCTTCATTCTTCACGTGAGGTAGGCAAGTACAGTGCATTGGCCTTCTTTAACCTCTTCAAGTACCTTCATTCTCTAGAATTCATTCACATGTTGAAGTTGAAAGGTGAAGATTCTGAAATTGTCTCATAAGCAGACCAGAACTTCTACTACATATCAGAAAAAAATATCAAGCTCTTTTTAAAAAGTCAGTGTATATTTTAAACTCTCTCCAGTGAATATAGTAAAGATCCCTAAAATTCATTTGTAGGTAGAAGTCCTTGCACTTCGTCACTCAACTAAACTGCACATGCAGTTTTAGAAGCTGTTACGTTAGAAAACATGACTCAGAATTAAATTATGCCATAATTGGAGTCCAGGAGATTTACGCTCTGCCAGATTGCATACAATACTCTTGTTACAGCTAAACTACAAGTCAAGATCCAATGAATATATTCTTATAAAATGGCTTGAAACTCTATAACATTAACCCTGCTTTGGATTTCAGACTCTGCTAGTGCTCCCTGACAAATAGCTTGCTCTTACAATATCAATTTTGCTGCTTGTAGAGTAGACTATATAGTGATATTTTCACTACAATTTAGAGGAAAACTTGTAGGAACAGAAAAGAGATGCTCGGAGAGACCTATTTTCTCTCAGGGCTGATACAGTTTGACCAATACTCAGTATGACTGAAGAAGCTATTTTTACTTATGAAAAATAGTAGGATAAAATAGCCACCAACATAAAAAACAATTTTCTTAAAGTTATATACTTTGAGTTTTAACTACAAAGGAATTTCGAAGATTCCTCAATATTATAGTCATTTGAATAAAAGAATTAAAAGGGACTACATTTTTTAAATAAATATTTTTTAATAATAAAATCTTCTAATTCAGTTGAAAATTAAGAAAAATGTGAAATAAAAGTATTATAAATTTAGGAAGAATATGTTCCATGTATATGAGCAATATTAGCATAAAATAGTTGAACATTTATATGCAAAATCGAAACTAACTTCAACAAGGGACTTCTGAACAGCTTTAAAAAGCATGTGTAACTAGCACTAAAATCCTTCTATCTTTTGTGGATACAAGCCATTAAAGAACAACTTCTTGTCATATACTTACAAACACATCTTTTGGAAAACAATTTTATTCATTTTGCCTACATTTCACCATCACTGTAACAATACTGAGATCTAAAAGAAGCACAGTAACAGGTAGGTATAAATACTACTCTAGTTCTCCTTTTTAAAGAGGCCAATCACGTAACACGTTGCTTTCATGTAACAAGTTACTTTCATACATAAAATAATTTACCACCATCTGAATTAAAAAAGACCTCACATGGCACTGTTTTGCATTGAACCATCTTACACTGATTTTTTAACTTGTTCAGGGAAGACTCTTACCTCTGTAATTCATCCTTTAGAGGTCCCATTGAGTAGCTCAGGGATTCTGAAAAAACAACTAAGACCAAGCCTCTCCTCTACAAAACATTAAACAAACCCAGCCACTACACTAATCATAGAGGGAGGAAAGGAAGGAGTGTGAGTTGAGCGGCCTCCGAAGCCAACCAGTAACACAAGGCACAGCAGGAGCTGGGCCATTAGGGTTTAGATCTTTCCCAGCTGTGTTGAGCTGGGAGTATTCTCTGAGAAAGGCTGTAGATTTAGGGAAAAGTCTAGGGTAGGTTAGAAGTAGCTTCTAGATAAAGCATCCTGAAATGAGGTTCAGTGTGGCCGAGAGGAGTTTGTGGTTTAGTGAACAGGCTCCTGGGGTTAATTAAATTGGAAGGGGACAAATTCTCTGAAAGGTAGGACAGGGCCTCTGCAGGCAGCTATTCTCCCTGATAGAAGTTTTGATCTGGGTTATGAGCTTTTGGGACCCTGAAAATTCAGGAAATCAAAATATCCATTGTAAACTTTGAGCTAGTCCTCATGGAGAGCATGGTCTGGAAGTACTCAAGCTCTTTCTGGGTTAAATAAAGGGTTTGAGGCCATAACATGATGCTGTACTTGCATCTCTACTTGCACTATGATCTTTTTATGAAAGCTCTTCTGTTATCAGGGTCTCCTACTCCATTAACTGTTGCCCCCGATAACAGAAACAAACATGCCTAGTTAAGTCTGTGAGGGCTCACAGCTCATTTCTCATTCCAGTGAGCTTACTAAAACTTGCAGAATAAACTATATACAAAGTTGAGAAAAAGTAATATTTACATTTATTTCAATCCAGTTTGACCATAATTTTTTAATGTTAATTTCTGTAAAGTTTACTTGGATGGATAAAGTTAACTATTCACTCAATTATGCACTTTAAAATTTATTTTATTATAAATACCACTATATTTGCTAACACAAATCACATACGTCATATACACCAGGGACAGAAGTTGGTTAGAGACTGGAACATTCCCACATACCTAAGAAGGGTCATTCTAGATCCCTAGCAAGGTACTTTAGTAGACAATGGGAAAACTTTTGTTTCTGCTAATAATGAAGTAACTACATTGTGACTAACAAACTAAAATACCTTCAGGGTTGTAAGTTTGTTATCTGTAACCCTTTTGTAATGAAAGTTCTTATAATCTTGGAAGAAATACAAACAAGATATCATTTCTATGGATCAGGTTCTTGCCCTATCATGTGAAAATCAGAAAATGTTTGTTACTGCAAAAATCAGATGATGTTAGCAAAATTATTTCATACTATGCTTGTCATTGTCAGTAAACAGCATTTCTATCAATAATTTAAATTAATCATAAACTAGTATAAATTCATAATCTCATGGGTATGTAGCCCATTACAGTTTCGTGAATAACAGATAATTTACACAAGCTTCTAAAACTACATTCTTGACATAGGTAAGCTGTACAAATCATAGCAGGATCTCTATGACAATGAGAAAAGCAAAATGAAAGCTCCTTCACGTTGCACTGAAAAGAAATACCAAAAGATTTTTTGGGGTACTACAAAACCTAGTAATGATTCATACCTCTGAATATACAATATCCCTTAATGGCACACAATAGCAGCAATCAATCTCTGATGCTATGGCCCAGTAGTTAAAGCTAAGACCTTAAAGAAATCACAAAGCTTCTTCATCCATGACACTATGCAAAGGGCAAAATAACAGTTTATTTTCTGTGGCCATTTTTTTTTTCTGCTGAGAGGAAAATTATTGCTTCAAGGAAAAACAGAAGGGAAACTGCTTCCTGGGGTAAATAAGCATTCTTTCATCTTTAGACTACATTTTATAGTTTAAGAAAATAAAATCTTAATCCTGTAGGAGTTCATCTGGTTTTGGTACCTGCAAAATATTTGAATTACAATGTTCTTATTTGGGATTTTAAACTCATTCCATTATGTGGGATATTAAGAAATAAAATTTCTCATGGCTTTAAATTGGAGATTCATATATTCATACAGAGCCATACTACTCTGTATTACATTGATTATTATTTAGTACCAGCTTTTCATATGCAAATCCAAAGTCAGGTGAATCCCTCCTCATACCTTTCACATGACAAGCTTTTACAAAGTAAAATAGTATTGCATGCTACCTGTAAATCTAAATTATAAATCTAAGCCTACCCTGTGCTTAAGCACTTCAGCCAAAAGAAAATATGGCCTTTGGCATATCTGCATTTCAGAATCTGTATTTCTTAACTGGAAATACTTGACTATCTCCCAAGTTCATATGCTTAGTTGTACCATTTTGGCCTAATGCAAGAAAACAGGTTAGTCGCCAAGAAAGGAATCTCAGTGTAGAACATCCAATTCTGAAAGTTATGATTGACAGAAAAAGACTCTCACAACCAAAAGGAACAGAAAATGAGCTGCTACATCTTTTAAGAAAATCTATTTCTACTAAAATTTTACACATTACTGAAGAGATTGCTGGGAAGGATTCATTGTTGGTCTTCTAGAAGCAGAGAAAATTTTTTCTTCTGCTTCTTTTTTTTTAAACTATAAAATTTCTTATCTACCAATTACAAGAGAAAGTTATTCCATGGGCTCAGGACATTTAGCTTAGATTGTAAGTAACTTCAACATGATCTTAAACAGTTACCCGAGAGGCAGAACTCACAAAAGTTAGAAAGTTTTTTGCTCTAATCAGTGGGAATGGACATTTATCTTCTAAATCATATGTCTTTCACATGGATTACAAAACAAGTAGCAGATTCCTCCTTCTTGGCATAATTCAGGAAGTTTGGGTTCTGCTGTTAAAATCATACAAAATGTAATTTAATGCTACAAACCACCAACATGTCTAAAATGCTGCTTATTTCAGGCAGTCTATTAAAGATGTTGACAGCTATTACCTGACAGTGAAAATAACAGACCTACAACTAACTAAGCATTCCAGAATTCAGACTGTTAAGGAAAAATTGAAGACATTTGAATAGAAAAAGCTTTTCCTGAATCTTTAAAAAATCCCATCTAATATACCAAACAGTAAGGTGTCTGAAACACCAAGCTGGATAGATCTTCACTTTTTGATGCCCCACACTAAACAGGATGATATACATGCTAATTCTATTTAAGTTTGTGCAAACGTATGAGAGGAAGACTATTGTTTTGTGAGCAAATGTAACTCCAGCAATGCAGCATTCCAAGTATCTGACCAGAATATATTGACACTGGATGTGACTAACCACACAGTAATGCTCCAGGGGTGAGGGGAGAAAACTGGGGGAAAGCATACACAAAACCATCCGTGATTCTCTCACAAACTGTTTGTCAGAGACAGCAAGACCTCCACACAAGAAAGGAGTTCTAAATTCATTGCTCTTTTATGGGTGCTCTGAGATCAGAGCCTCAGTATGTGGAGACCTGCTCTAGAGATCAGGACCCTCAGTAGTGGACTCTGTATGTCCGATCATACCAAAGATGTGGGGGTTTTGTGGGTGCGGTAAGAAAACTAACTCTCTTTTAAGCTGTTTTATCAAATTGCTGTTCATATCTATTTCCAGCCATTGCAGAACTCTCAGCTTCCTTCTTTCAGGATTTCTGCTTCATCCTTCCCATACCTATAGCCCCTCTGAGAAACTCATGCTGTGCTATGCAAAGGCTATTTAAGCAATCTTTATTGACATAAAGTACCTTGGACCAAAAGAAATTTTTGATGGGCACAGGCAGGAGACGGTCACGTTGAAACAGCCAGAGGCTGGGGTTTTTTAACAAGGATTTTAAAAGCATTATAGACATGCAAAAGCATATTGCAATGATCCCACGTAACTCATAAACTGGGGGATACCCAAGACATCTGCCTTTGCACAATGCAGAAGAGCTCGCAACAGGCGTGATCTCTGCAACCTCAGAGAGCAGAGACTTGACCACAGACTGCAAGTCACCAATAAAAGGAAGTAGAAGACATCATGATCATAATTCAGTCAGCCTCCAGTTGAAGAATGAGAAGGAAGAGAAGTCTACTACCTCCTTACTACATGATAGAGTACGCCTCAGAGAAGTGTAGACACTTCTACAGATGTACCAAGGAACAGTCTCTTTGATACAGAGATTTCCTTTTCAAGGGAGTGCAGCTCTTCACTGCCTCCTGTGAAATATTATTAGAAGAAATGTCCAGGATGAATCATAAAACTTTTCACAAAAGAAAAATCATAAGGTGAAAGCACAGAGCTTCCTCATTTGACAAGTATTTGTTGGTAACAGAAACAACACCAACCACTGTGTGGTAAAATTAGCTGTAATGAAGAAGTATATGAAATTGTATCCCTTAGAAATTGATATCTGGCATTTTTACTGAAATAAGCCATGTCACCTGTAAATTTGCAATTACATATACTAGTGGCAAAATGATGTCAGACCTGTAAAGAGAAAACCCTTAACATTTGGAATAAGTCATGTTTTATTCTCATGACTTACAAGTCATACATACAGGCAAGCAGATACATTGTATCTGGGAGTATATCTGTAGTGTTTTTGAAAGTTAGGATGAACTTTAATGGTGAGATTTCCATAGGAATACACAATGCCAAATCTCTATTCCCTCAAAAGTCCTGAAGTACATGTTCAAAATCAAATACGAGATTTGTACAGTAGAATAAAAAAAGAAAAACCTAACCCCTAACCCTAACCCTAATCCTAATCCCTATCCCTACCCCTACCCCCTAACTCTAATCCCTAACCCTGCACCTACCCTTACCCCTAATCCTAAACCCAACAATATTATTGCAGTTTTATTCAGACTCACAACAGTGTTGATGTATGTGACTGCAATCTTTAGATACTGCCATCCTGGACAGAGTTTTTAATTATGTCCTTATTTAAAATAGGTGTCACAAATAATAATGACCAATAACCCCGCTCTCAACCACAAGAGTGGAAACCAATATCCTCAGAAATTGACAACTTTCAGTATGATACAAAAAGCCAGCAACATCCATTCATTCCAACAGATATTTAACACATAGGATTGTTTTTCTGTTGTGAAAAAGACCCACATCTTTCATTCTTCTGAAGTCAACAGGAATTTTGAATAAAAATACCCAGGCTGAAACTTTTCATATTGCATTTGCTACTTCCCTATATGAATTACTGAATTTCACTTAACTTCCTATTCACATGTAAGATTTACATACAACTCTTGTTCTAGGGAGAAGAGGAAAAATGCCAATTCTGAAAATTTCCAAAGGTCCTACTCTCTGTAAATAGGAATTGAAAGAGAACAGACACTACTTTGCTCTGTCAGGCAACAGGAGACTAAACTAGCATTTTTACCTTACCAGTTTAAATCATGAAGTACTTAAAGTGACCACTCACCTCTCAGAGGTTATAATTTTTTTTAGGAGTACCTGTTGCAACAGGACACGGGATAATAATTTTACACTAAAAGAGGATAGATTCAGACTAGATATAAGGAAGAAATTTCTCATGATAAGGATGGTGATACAGTGGCACAGATTTCACAGGGAGGTGGTGGATGCCTCACTCCTGGAAACATTCAAGATCAGGCTGAATGGGGCTTTGAGCAACCTGATCTGGTTGAAGATGTCCCTACTGTTGGACTAGATGACCTTTAAATGTCCCTTCCAAATCAAATCATTCTATGATAACACTTTTGTGGGAAAATGGGGACACTGGGGATTTTCAGATAGCTAAGAAGCAGACTCGGGTTCTTTCAGTAACCGCTCTTTCTCCTCCATTTCCTTGTGATCTTACATCCCTGCAGCCAGGAAAAGAATGTTTATATGAGGATTCCCCGAGATACAGGATGTATTTTTAGTTTGGTGACAAAATTCTTGCAAAGTTGTTCTTTTTTCTCAGAAGCCAGGCATTACTTTGACTGCTGCATGGGACTCATGGTTATATTTTCAAAGCTATGCTTGTGTTGGAAACACAAATCCCGTTACTGTTAAAGGATTAGTGCACATAACTTTCCAAATGCTGCCTTAAAAATGAAGCCAAGGAATATTAGTTGTGTATGCTTTCTGGAATTAATGTAGGCTGTGATTATTGGGCAGTCTTTACAACAGCATTGTTATATATGCATTTTTTTATGTACTATCTCTAGACACTCATGCAGACCTGTCTGTATTTCTTTAGTAGCTGGATATTTATTAAAAAAAAAGGAATGATAAGACATCAATTTCAACGTACCTCTAACTCTCCAGATGAACGCAATTTGTCTTGACTTTGTTAACACTATTTCTTGGTGCCTTTTTAATGCCTCTTAGGAATAAAGAAAAAAAGTTAACAAAATTATTAACATAATCTTTGTTTTCCTTAGTTCCACTAGAAGCTTCAAACCTGTGTTGCAGTGATGGAATCGACATGGTGCCGACATTACCAATTCCCCAGTTTCTTGAATCTGATTAAACTTTTTCTGCTGTTCTGAACTAAAACAGGTTTTGTATCTTATTACATTGTACAATTGCCTCAGGTGAGAACTAGTTTTTTCCTTCTATTACTATGCAGCATCTATTGCAATCACAGTGTTAATTTTTCACACTGTTAAATGCTTAAAATGTCCCTATGCTTGTATCATCAACTTTCAAATGAGAATTGACCTTTTAACCATTGTTTTAACCACTAAAATCATTAATAATGGTCTTGACATGGAAAGAGATGAAAGGAAAAGAATGTGTCTTATAATAGAGAGAACATCTAGTTTCTGTATGTGAACTATGAGGTATGGCATGTGTTGTCTCTCCAGCACTACAAAATCTCAAGCAGTTCCAGACATGCCCATTGACATATCAACAGGCACAGTTTGAGAAAGCCTAGAAATTGGTACCACATAAGCAGGCATATTCAGGTTTCTAATTTTTGGCTTTAAGTGCCTCATTTTACATTCAGCATACTACAGGTTTATATACTTATCCTGATTTGGTTTTTATTCCTGACATTGCCATTTTTTTGTTCTGTTTATACAATAAAGTAGGAAGCTGGATGGTGTTGGTTTCCTGTGTATCAGCAGGGTGAGAAGGCCTCTTCAGGAGAGTAATTCATTCATTCATTCATTCATTCAGTAATTCAGTGAATACTTCCTCTGAATTGTCCTCTGGGTGGTAGAAATCTCTTTCTCCTCACAAATTTTGAGGATTCTAGGAAGGCTAATTGTCCTAGTTAGGACAACTGAGACCAGTTCATCATGGTATGGGTGTAACCCAAAACTGTGTATTCTATAGCCTTCCATGCCATTTCCCAGAAACTGTTGTCAATAGACTATTCGCACCCTCTGCCCATAGAGCCCCTGACCCCTCAGGCTATGAGCTGGGTGTCATAAGATAGGAGGATGCTCTTGTCCTTACACCCTTTGTGGAACTCCCCACCCTGAGGGAAGCACTGAGCATTCCTGCCTGAACTGGAGGATATATAATCTTGGAGTCTTGGAACATTTTTTTTTTAACCACTCCTGGGATCCAGGGGAAGACTGCATCTCATTGCTCTCAACCAGACTTAGACCACCACTGGACTGCAATCACCACTTCTGACCAGACTGCAACAGCTCTCCCACCAGCAGGTTTTTCCCCTCTCCCTTTACTTTGGACTCAAGCGGGGCCCAGGGAACACCACTTTGTTCATGCCCCAGGGTACTGGGTTATACATTTGGGTTTTGTGGGTTAAGACCAATTGTTTGTTTGTATGATTGTACTTACTGTATTATTTTAATAAATTGTTATTCTGACTTATAATCTCTCCTTTGAGTTGGGTTCATTTCCCCTGCTGGTTAACTCTTAAACCAGCACACTAATCAACCAACACAGGCACTTGCCATGGAGTGCCTTGAATCAGGCTGTGTGAAAAGCACCCAAATTACAAAATAACACCACCCTTGCACGGGTAACCCAGCAATATCTGTTTTTTATAAAACTAGGTAAATTATGGTAGTTGTCTTCTCTGCTATTGTCGTGCTCACATCTAAAATAGAGCTGACATGCAGTCAATATAAAAAAACATCCCACAAGACACATTTCAACTATTTCCAGACTGAATCTATCACTGACTTTAGCTTTCATCTTCCTCTTTTGTCAAAATTTTCTAGGCTTTAAATATAATCCAACTAGAAAGAACAGAGATTATTTCTTCAGTAAGTAACAATAATTTCTCTTGTGGCAGTGTGGTATAAATACAGACAGCATCCAAAAGTCTTACAGCCACTCATGTAATAAAGTTCTTTTTCAGTGTGATTAAACATCAAAGAGTTTTTAAAGAACCCATTTATAAAATTTGAATTTCAAATATTTATTTCACTGCCAAAAAATCTTATTTTGTGTTCAGACAACTGAACCATAAATCCTCCCAATCCTTAAACTGCACTGGCCAAAGTACTATCATTCATTAGATAAGGATAGTGACTACCTCATTTAAAATGAATCCTAGTAGATGACAGGCAGTGGAGGGAATATATTCTAGTGTGATATGAGCCAGAAATACAGTTAACTAAAGGAAAGAGCATTGAGGGGTGGTAAAACAGGGAAAATGCCTGCATGATGATGTTTGTGAAGGAGGCCATTCAGAGCTTCTACACACACAATATTTCTTACATAGTCTTGGCTACAGTCCAAGACTATATACTCACACACACATATATATGTATAAAAAATGCACAGTCCATCCTGGTATATAATTTAAAACATGTATTATAAATACTTACATATATTAATCCAATAGTTGTGGGCTACTTACTATCAAAGTCCACTGTTAGATGTAACAGGGAACAATATTATTTTACTGCATTGTTTAAATAGATTTGGTCTTGTAGAAAACTGATGGTGTAAATCAAGATCTTATGTCTCATTTGGCAAATAGTAGACATTTCAAATGGTTTTAATCCTCTGAGGACAAAGTAATAATTCTGTTCTGATTTTTACAAGTTATACAACATGCCTATTGCACACAATATAAAAAAGAAATCAATGCGAATGTTCACATGAATAGATTTTAGGCATATCCATAAAGTTGGAAGAACTATGGCCTTAGTATTTACATGGATAGAAGTAGTTTACAACAAAGTGAAGAAGAATGGTCTGTAATGACTAGACATGTTCTCCACAGAACCTGGAATAAAAAGCAAGGACTTTAAATTGAACAAATGCTTCAAAGTGATACCAAAGTATAAATAATAACCTTCAGGTTTTACTTTCTCTGTATTTGCAGTTGGCAATATGTTTCTGTAGAGAAAAAAGTGAAGTCTTCAGACTTTTTTAAAATAAAAGCTTGAAGGTTGAGGGTTTTTCATTAAAAAAAATTAACCAATCTTAATACAAAGCAGTACAGGATTGAAAATGGGAAAATGAGAGCTACGTCTACCACACTAACCTAAAGTGACTTGAGTGGTATGATAAGTTCTTCCAGGGCATGGCTAAAGCAGGAATGAACAGCTTAGTTCACATTCAGTCTGGAAACAAGAAAAATGCTTTCAGTTACATTTTGGTCTTGTCCAGAACAGTTCTGTTGTCATTCAGTAAGCATCCACAATTACAAGATCTGGGGTACGTCCCGTCAGTTGTTCACATGCAATTCAGCCCAGAGCACAGCAATAAGGTCAACAGAAGTTTAGAATTTATTACAAAGAAAAGATTGCTGCTGTGGGACCTCTCTGGCATCAAGCCTCAGAGAGCCAAGAGCAGCCCCCCGTAACTGCTTGTCTACACAATCTCCATTGTTCTCTCAGGTTTCACAGCTGCAGAGGTTGCTTTCTGTTCCAGAAAGTAAGAGCTCTCCTCCCTGCAAAGTTGCAGAGCAGATCCACAACAGGAAGGATTTTGCTCTTCTCATTTTGGGGAGGGAGGGATGCTGATCTTGCAGGCTCTTCACTGCTTATATCACCCTGCCCGAACCAATTAACTTGGCCTTAATAGCCCAGTGGGTCTCAGATGGCTGGGGCATGACAAGACATTTCCTCTCTGTGTGTTAGTCTGGATAAAAGTTACTTGAAGGACACACCTCCTAAATTGTGTAACCTTTTTATATTTAGTCAAAAAACAACCTTTGCCTTATATATTAGAATCTGAAGATAAGCCAAGAACATATGAATTGAATATTTCAAAGTCCTTTTTAACTGATTAACTGTGTTCCTCAGAGACATTCTTGCTAGTTCCAAAGAGGAGCCTTCACCTAACAGTTTAATAGAGGGAGCTTAGGGTAAACATTTTTCCCAAACTTTTTAGTAAATTGATCCCTTTCTACACTGGAATTCCCCTACGTCCCCTAACAGGAACCACCCGCAATTCCCAACTGATGACAGTCTGAAAGGCAGGATATTTGGCATAAGGAAACTAGAATTTGAACAAATCTCTAGAGTTTAAAAAGGGATCTATCCATGCTATAAAGTTGGAGCTGTAGAGCTGATGTCCCAACACCCTGCTATGCCGTAGTGCCATCTCATGGACTCTAGCAGTTCCTGGCAGAAAGCAGAGGAGGCAGGGAAGGCGGAAAGGACGATGGAGAGAGAACAGGTGTTTCAGAATAAAAACTAACCCCCGCTTCATCTGCTCTGTTCCTGATGTAGTAGAGCATTCAAAGCAATGTAGAGGCATCTAATTACTTAATTACCATTGCATATGTTTATCCTTGAGTGTCTTAATGGTCTTTTCAGGCAACATGGATATGAAATTGGGCTGTGACCACTCCAGAAAGCTCAGACATAAAACATGTGAAGACTGGGCCCAAAACTTGAAGTTAAATCATGAGTAATTCTAAATAACAAAGGCATTAAAAAAACCCTACTAAAATAAAAGAGATCTAAGGGGTTAATATAGTCCTTCCATGTAATTACTATTGGGTATTACTATTTGTGCATAATTGTTCGTATTTAATGCAGTTAAAAATTATTAATTTACCCACAAAACAGCTATGTAAACTAGGTACCAGAGAAACCTAGAAAAAACCTTGATTTACTTCACAAATTTGGCAGTCTAAGAAAGACAATATGTCCTTGGTTTGTTTCTGATGAAGTGATTTCACAGTATTTCCAAATGAAGCTATTCTACTCCAATGGGAAGTGAAACAATGTTTGTTTAAAATGATTTAAAATCACAGACTTTCATTGGAAATCTAATCTGCCAGGCTTCTGAATTCCCACTTTGACTGTGCACAGACCCTACTTCGTCAGTCTGGCAAGCTTTTAATTACTTCCCATAATAACGCATCACTAATCAGCAACTACTAAAACAACACTCAGTCTGAATCTAACCTTTTAAAACAAAGTAATAATATATTATCCAGATTAATAACTACTTTGTTTTACTAGGTAGATCATAATCTCCTTCACTGCTTCGTTTAATTTTTTTTCTGACATGACTGGAAACTATTTGGTTAAAGGAAATGTATCTGCCTTGATTAGATTAGGATTTGGCAACAATCTCTGCAATAATATAGTCTGCCATATTAGATGACACCAGGGCTTAAAACTTTTCACATTCCTTTAGTTTGTAGCAGAGCTCTGCACAAATTCTCACATCTGAACTTTAAAAATACCTCATTTTTGCTTTCTGCCTGATGCTGAATGAGTACAAAGAACACTGGCATTTTATTTTGCTGAAAAAACTCAAGTTGCTTCTAGAGTAGAAAAACATTAACTTGGCTTACTTCCATCATGGATGTGTGTGTTGCAATAAAATTCACCTTCTCTTCCCCTTGAGAGAAGGTACCCAGAGTCCCCATAAAACACAGGAAATTCAGGCGTACAAACCAGTAAACTTAACAGACAAAGCTACCAGTAAATGATTACCAAAAAAAAGGAGAGGATGTAATATATGTCCCCCCAGAGACAATTAGGGGCTTATTCAGGATTCTCAGCTACTGGCTCTCCTCTAGAACTGCTGTCCCATCAGCCTCTCCTCATAAAAAATAAGACAGAGGATTTCAGAGTGTTTCCCAATTTGCAGTACTTGGTAACTTAATAGTTAAAGCATTTATTAAGATTAATAAATAAGATTAAGAAAGTACTTACCTCCCCTTTGGCCTCCAGATCTTATGCCAGCAGGAAATCACACCTTAATGTAACTGATCCTGCCAGATATTTCATTGTTTTCCATTAACAGTGAAAGTGGCAGGCATGTTCCATCACAGATCTTCCCAAATGTGTTGAAATGAAAGAGAAAAAAAAGAGGTGTGTTCATCTACACTTATAAGTATCTTCTGTTGTTATAATTAGTATCCTTTATTTTTAGATGCTACACATGAAAGAATTTGGTCTACTCTGAAGTTTTTAGGAGTTTCTTTTTGTATGCTTATTCCTGTATTCCTGCAGTCAAAAAACTTAAATTATTTCACCAAGATCTATATTTTAAAATATCATCCTAATATATATGATGAAATACTATACACAGATAAGTTTCTGGGCATTATTACTCTGTACAGTACAGTGCATTTCTCTGAAATGTGCCTAATTCCAAAAATATTATTAACATAGTGGTTTTTAAAAGCAACCTAGTGGGGGGGGAAAGCCCAAGTGTAGAAAGATTTTACTAGAGATGAGTCAAGGTGTTTGAGGCTGGACCCAGTGACAGGACTGTGTCCAATGCCATGTGGGACTGCCAATTTTAAGCACAGTATGACAATGCAGCCATGTGTTCAGTCAAGTTTTTGCATTAATCTGGAAAGCAATATCAAATCAGTATTTTGTAGGCTTTTTTCCTTTTTCAAACTAAAATTTCCTGGATATAACTGATTTATTGTTCTATTCTGTGAGTTATCATTCAAGATTTCCAAGGGGAAAGGAATGATATTTTTGCCTTCAGGATTGCTGTAAGAAAACACCTGCATTTAGAATAAGAAACTTTATTAAACTATGAGAAATTTTATAGAACTATTGTCTAGGGTACAAGTGGAAATATTAAAAGTTATATCCCATCTGAGGCTGAAATGTTTCTCTTTTGCACACATGGAATATGTTCAATATAATTCTCAATGCCTGTAGACTTCCTAAAAGCCTGAGATAAATTTAGTGTCAGAAGAAGGAATTGTGTAGTCACACAGAAGTAATTACTTTCAGTACTAATCCACATTTTAGCCTGAAATCTAGTGAGTATTTTTGTTGCCACCACAGAGAATCTGACATAAACAAAACATCCCAAATCATCCCACAACCTCTAGTTTATTCCATGTACACCTGGAAATCACAGCTGAGCCACAGTGCCTCTGATTTTTGCCAGGGCACCATATTTTATAACAGTATTACAAAATATTTTGTAATTTCTCGGAACTTTACAAAGGCTAGAGAAGGATGGTGGTACAGGATAACCATGTCCTCATAATGGTAGTTATCCTTATTTAATTTTTCAGATTTGAGGTAGAAACATGTTATGGGATTTTGATAGATTATTGTATTATTTAAAATAAATATTCTCTGATAAGACACACCTTGCATTTTAGCAATGCCACAAAGGTAATTCAGCCTAGAGGTCTTCACTCTTTCATAGACTGACTGGCTTTTGATCCAGACAGACACTGAGGTTTTGGTCTAGACCTTTAACCTCTGAAACAAATTATGCTCTTTACAAGCCTAAAGCTCCTTCAGACTAACTATAGGAAATATGCAACATCCTTCAAAATGATCACAACTGAATTATTAGAATTACTATGCTGCACAATGTGAAAAATAGATATTTCTAGAGAAACAAGGTTATTATTTGCTGTGACTGAATTTAAGCCTGAAAGCTTTGACCCACACACAGGACATGCTGTTATTTTGTCTTTTTCATTCAGACCACAACTCTTCCTTCTCTGGGTCAGAAGCAAATATAGTTGGGCATTGCCACACTGATTCTGCCTACAGGTTTCAGAGTAATCTGCACTTTGCAAAATCTGGCAGTTTGCAAAATATATCATTTTTTATTACTGAAGCCTATGGATAATTTTTCAGGAACAAAGTTCAGTTTCTTTTTTTCTGAATATCATTGACTGAGATTATTCCTTCTTGGTTACCACCGATCATATGAAAATCTTAGATTCTTAGTCTTTAGAATTATTTTGTGTTGCACTGCCATGAAAACAGATAATCCTGTTATTCTTTATTACATAATATGTATTCATTATCTTCCTAACCTGCCTGCTTAAAACTGTACTGTACTAACATGTTTTCTGGTTTTATACTTCAGTTTCTACACCAACATTTTAAAGTCCAAGATTGTTCTTTTTAATATCCACTTGCAACAGCATTACAGCCAGTAAATGAAATGGATTATATTGAATAGGTTCAGAATTCCCATTTTAGCTACATCCATGGGACAGAATTTTAACCATCTATCTGTGGCCATGACAGAACAGGACATCCTGTAAATGTTTATGGTTATCATTTAAGTGTCTAAGTTTGATTTCTCCATTAAATTGCCTTTCTCTTCTCTTTATAAAGGAGCCCTGCTTCACAGGGAATAGAAAAACAGCAAAACAAAGCAGGACACTAAATTCATCTCAGGGTTCTGCTGACATCAGAAACCACTCAATCTTTGCTCAAGAGACTCTTCATGTATTTATAACCCTGTAATTTACAGTTTCCTTCCATTTACTCTCTACATGGGTGACCTACCGAACGAATGCACAACAGCCAATATGGATCCCTTGTAAGCTGACAAGGAGCTGCCTATGCTAGCACAGACACTCCAGTCAAGTTTGAGAATGTCCTGGACAAAAACATTTATCATGTAGCAAAAACTAGAGGAGCTGCCTGCTAAATACTTCCCATAAAAACAAAACTATTGAAAAGTGAGGCTGACAAGATACAAGTAACTTGAGAGTCACCTCAGAGATGAGAAGAACATTTGGTTTGTGCACAAACAGTGCTGGTTTTCTTTATTAATTTATTTCTCTCATATAAAAACAGAATAATTTTCTAATCTTATTCATAAAAGAGTTCAGTATTATTCATGTTGAATAAAAGCTTGTTATTAAATGGGCTTGACAGAACAGTTTCTCTTAACACCTCTTCAGAGGTAAACTGGGGCTTATAACAGGAATAAATTAAATGCCACTGGATTGTTTTTGTAATTTGTTAGGAATAAGATTTTTCTAGATTGTTCACTATCTTAAAACACTGCTTAGTTAAAATAATCCCACTCCTCTCCATTGCAATCAGCCCTTCTGCTTCAAAGCTAGCTTAGTTCCTTGTGTTTCTAGCTGTATCCAGGTGCTCTTTCAAAGGCACAAAGTTACCCACAAAAAAGACTAGTAAAGCATTACGATAAGGTGCGTCCGGGTGCCAGAATTCAGGTTCTGAAAATCCTGTCCCAAGAAAGGAGCTACAGGGCAATTTTTCAAAAAAAGTTTTTATATTTTTTTAAGTTGTAGTTTTTGTCGTGTGAAGAATGAAGTAGTATTCACTATAAGTGGGAATTGGGATGACTGAGCCTACACCACTCTTGATATGTGCCCTGAATCAAGTCATTGCTCTCTGCCACACTTCCTTCAACTGTAAAATGAGCATATTATGGTACCGTCCTCAGAGCAGGGATGCAAAAATAACCAGTTATGTAAACATGCAAAACATTTTGTGATCCTAAACTACACACTTCTAAAATGAGAAGGGTGACCTGACTGGCAGTCTTTGCTACATGGATTTTTTTTACTACAGTAAAATTAAGAAACTGTATAGAAATTACAAGAACTGAAAATCATCTGTTGTTTAATCTTTCACCAAACAGTTGTCAGTTATCAATTTCTGAAGGCAGGATTATGGGAGAATAAACAGTTCTTAGGACTAAGTGGGTACCCAAAAGTCTTCCAGTTTTGTCAAAAGATTAATTCAAGGGAAGACTAGGACCATACAGGACCAAACACACCACTTGGTACTGCCTCCAAACTGCAATAATTAAGAACCAGTTTATGACTCATCTGTGCTATGCTGTCTCTTCAGTCTGTGCTTTGCTCATAAACAGATGGACTGTAAATATTCTTGAAACAAATTTTTCAAAACTAACTTCTAACCTCATAATAAAACATTCAGCTCTGTGAAAATATAATTGAAACAGATCTCTGGGAATATGGAACATAACATCATAAACCCTGACTAGACTTTTTAAAAATTATTTTAGAATTTGAAAGACACTACTAAATGACATAATGGTTTTGCAATATGGTTTTTGCATAACAGTTTTGCAATGACATTTGACAATCCTTACTAAATTGGGCTCTATTGTGCACAGCAGAAGATACAAAAGATTAGGAGTGCTCGGTTTAGAAAAGATGAAAGAAAATCTGGCCAAAGAAATATAAATGGCATATTTTATACTTATTCATAAGGGAAGAACAAATCGACAATCATAATTATGACAGACTAACATATGCCTAGAATGTTTGTGCTGACCTGTAAACTCAATTCTGTGACCACTATTTTGTCTGAAAAGCTTCTAAATTTGTTTGTTCTTTCCTTTTGCATTTTTCCACTTTGAATTAAATACACATCAAATGGTGAAGTCTTTCCATGCAGCAAGAACTACAAGAAATATGCCAAAAAATGGCAATTCTAATAATTTGGTTGTGTTCACCCTAGAAAAAGAGGGTGCCTGCAACCCCACCAGATTGCAGAAAACTGCTTTGCCTTGTTTGCAGTTGTTGGGAAAGGGCAGAGTTGAGGTAGGCAATGGATCTCATAACTTCTGGAACTGCTAGAGACGTTTCAAAGAGAAACTAGAACAGAACAGATTTTTTCCATACTGATGTGTCTGTAACAACCTATCAGCTGAGTACAGGATTGAGGATGTTCTGCAAAACCTGTTAATGGGCTTTGTAAATATTGTGAACTCTGATAGGAAGTGTTTGGTATGCAGGTATTCATTAATCTTGTTTTGTTTAGCTAAAAAACTTAGCTGATTTGGAAATAATTTTCTAAATTTGTAAATTCCACAGTTTTATTTGTAATCTCCTCATTGAGGGTGTTTATTGATCTGTCACATCACAGGACATGGTAAAATGCAGGGCCATGCATTAACAGAAGAATGCTGCAGTATTAATATTGCTCAGACAAAAAGCATGGAAGCTGGTAGGGTTAAAAAGTGGGCTCTACTATGGCCTCAAGAAAGGTACACCACCTTTAGAGTTCTTTTCCTATCTCCAGTAAAGAGCTCAGAACAAATCA